AGGCGAAAGCAAACGGATTGGTGCCTATTCTACGTCTCTTTCTTTATTAGATCAAAAGGTACAGCCAAAACTATTTTGACTTCCTTTTTACCCCTGTGACGTCATCTTTGACCTGACCTGAAAATGACCTCAGTAAAAATTGTAGACCTTATCCGTGTGAATCCTGTATCGTTTATCACTTGTCGCTATCTTGCTTTAGTCTCGAGATCTCGCTGTCGCTCCCGCTCGTAATAATGGACAGGTCATAAAATGACCTGACCTGAGGTCAATGCAGGCCGAAAGCCACTTTTTTATTGTCGCATATGAATGACAATTGATAAGGCTTTAATCGTCATCAGACAAAATTGCGACTTTCAGTAGGGAAAATATCAAGGTCACTCTTCGAAAAAAAGATCAAGATGTCACGTGATCAAAATTTTCAAAAATCGAAAAGCCGAGATAGCCAAAACGTTTGCTGGTTGATTGCAAGTTGAACCATATAAAGTTTTTACCATTGAAAACCAATAGTTTCTGAGTTATAAGCCGCCAAACATAGGGTTGCAGCGTGACCTCCAGGAATTGCCTGAGGCTATATCTCGGAACCCGGTGTTCAAAGAAAAAAATCCTTGGCACAGCTGGCTTCCCCGCCCATAACAACCCATTAGACCAATTTTAAGCAAAAAATGAAATATGAGGGTGTACGGCTTTGGTCGATCTATCGTGGAATGCCCCTGTGGGTTTTCTTGAAGCTCTCGTAGGCCCAGCATTGGCTGGCATGAGACCCTCATCGGCAGTGGGGAGTGAACCCTGCCAAATGAGCGTGGCTCTACGACACTAAAGTACGACCTCATGGGTTGGTGCTGTGCAGCTCAGAAGCCCAGTGGTGACCCCGTATGCCGGCTTGGTTCCTTAAAGATAAGCGTGGGACCTCCGGGGTCTGCGTAGAGCTCGCATGAGCTAGTATGTGATCTCGGAGGCCTGTATAATGTGTACACATTGGCGGTCGCGGGGAGGGGGGGGGCATCAGGGTCATGGCCCCCCAAAGGCAAATAAGGGAGCCATCATATCACTTGGACCCCCAAACAACCGATAGGCCCCATGGGCTATAGGGCTCTGCCCTTTTTCGATTGTCGCGAGACTCAAGAAACCCACGCCCAGCTATTAACCCGCGCCCCGTTGGGGTCTGCCGAGCAACGCGTCCCGTTGGGGGGCAATTTGCCCCCCCCCCGAGATCTCGAGAACCAAGCAACATAGCGACAAGCAGCAAACGGCGTTGGATAGCCCCAACAGAGAACTACCTTGTGACCCAATTTCATTGACCTAAGTCAAACCGATGACGTCACAGGTCAGGTCAAATGTCGAATTTTCACCGTTTACAGGCACTTCAGGAAATGCGTTGTAAAATCGAGGTAAGTGCATTTCATTGAAAATCATCGATGGGGTATTTTTTCGTCAAACATATATTTTGCTATTTGAGGTCACTACTCACTGATACCAGGTCAGGTCACAGAGGTCAGGTCACTGAGGGTCACAATATGAAAATAACATGTGATGCATCACTGCATGTTTTATGGTCCATTTTATATTCCAAATGCGATTGTGTGAGTCAGGCAGCCTTTGGAGTTAGTTTAGATTAGTACTGACCAGGGTCAGGTCAAGGTCATGTCAAGGTCAGATAAAATTAGTTCAAATTTTAAAGTTGACATTTTGCATAAAATAGGTATCTATTCGATGCAACTTGTCACGGGAGGTTCAATGGTGGTTTTTGTTTTGCGCTACGTGCTCTGGAATTGCCAAAAATTGAGTTAAAAATTTGACGTTATCAATTTTGAACAGTTTTTTTTTTTCGCTATAACTTGGCCAAAAAAGAGAAATCGATCTAAAAATTGGTATGTAGATAGAAGAGCGCAGGGAATATCACATATATTCCGCTTTTTTCGAAACTCAAGAAACTTTTGGGATTTCATGTGTTTTTCTAAAAAAATAATAATTTTTTGGGGTCAAAATCGCAAAGTTTTCAAAATCCGAGATGGCAATTTTGTAGCGCTGTCTTTTCTCTACATCATTATATAAAGAACTTTGAAATTGCTTAGTAACTGTAGCTTTTGTGATCGTTTCAAGATTTCATGTTTTTGCTCATTTTTGCTCGAACATGACCTCAAGTTGACCTTAATAACTCCTGACCTAAGGTGACCTAAGACTTGAAATTTTGTGTGAAGGTGTCAAAATGATGCCCAGTAAGGTACTGAAACTTAACCCTAGAACGCCTAGGGGGGGGGGGGGGTTGTATCAACCCCCCCTGAGGTTTTTTCGAAGTGCACGCTAAACGGCTTGTCGTAGCGGGCTGAAATTTTCAATACCCTCTGGGGCAACCTTTGCGCATCTTTTGCCGAAAAAAAAAATGATCGGGTCATGTCAGGTCACGGAGTTATGACGTCATAAGAGGTACAGCCTCCGGCCGGATTTTCACAAACTGAGTGCCAACGCCCGAGGTTTCCTGCCGGTGGTACGGACATCGGTTGATGGATCGTGATGAAACTTCCCATGCATGTTGGGGCAAGTATTGGCTATCATATGGTATAAGAAATTTGACCGGGTCAGGTCAGGTCACGGAGCTATGACGTCACAAGAGGAACAGCGTCCGGTACTATTTTTGAAAAGCGCCCGAACCACTATTTTGCTAATTCTTGTCACCTCAATGGGAATATGCAGCAATATTAGCTTCTATAGGGAGCAAATGGACCTCCCAAATCCAAAAATACAATCAGATTTCAAAAATTTAAATTTTTATTTTTCGAATTTCTGCCGCCGACTGTGACCTTGCCGACTTCCGGCGCTCCCAACGCGCCATTTTTAGAGCTAGGGAAACGAAATACATACCAAACGATAGAGAATTGATCAAGGAACACGATAGTGAAGGTTTCAAGTCGATATCTCCCACCGTTTTGCCGCAATCGCCGCCGAAAGTTGAAAAAAGTATATTTTTCCGAAAATTTGACCTTTGACCGGTCAAAAGTAGGTCAAATGTTGACCTAGGACCAAAAAATATACCACCAATCGCGAGATCTCGTTGAGAGCAATCCGTTGGTTTTTTCCGCTAAGCTCTACGACCTTCCGTTTCGAAACGCCAGGGGGGGGGTCGTAACAACCCCCCCCCCTGGTCGTTCGTGTTATGAGAAATGGCCTGGTCGTGCGAGGGTTAAGCGGCGCTGCGCGCCGCCGTTTTCTTGTTATTCAAGAAAAACCACAGGGGGGCCAAATTGCCCCCCCCCCTAGCGGGGCGAGGGTTAATAGCTCCCACACCGGTCTTCAAGCGTACTCTCTGAAGGCCCTTCATTGGCGGTCAAGCGTCCACATTGACCGCTAAGAGCCCACGTCGACCTCTGAGGGCCCTTCACTGGCCTTTGAGGATCATAAACCGGCCTCAGGGGCCCCAACTGGCGTCTGGGGACGGGGGACCTCACTACGGTCTCTGAATGACAATCGAACCCGGTTCAGTAGTTTTGGAGTTAGAAGTGGCTATGAATAGCAGCTCCATAAAGGGGCGCGGGATATTGGCGAACAGTGCATTGTAAAATCTTGCATAGCTGCCGAGGTGCACGTTTGCGCACCTTTATACCGTCTGACTATAATGGCGAACTATACTATAACTATAAATGAATTATATGTAGAACTATAAATGGCGCAAGTTTGCGCACTTTTTTATTGCTTGGCCAGTTCAATAGCATTCCAATTTCCAGTGCGTATTGTAATGCACGATTTAGAGCGGGACCTGGTGGTCCTCAAAAGATCGGCTCTAACTTAGCTATCGACATTATGTAGTTTTTAAAATTTGAGACGATGTAATGATATGTTGATCTCTCATGATGCTTAATGACCAACCCTATTTCATTTCTCTTTTTGCTGAATCGATCGTCATATGTCACAGAACAACTCATAAAAACAAAGACCTGGAAAACTCACGCATATAGGATTCACATGGCATATACCTACTTTGACTGTTAAAAGACCCACTTATTAGTCCACGGCCCAAATAAAACTTTGTGTTTGAGGCCCTTTTATTCCTATACCAATAGGTTGCATCATGCATGACCAAGTACTTGTCATGTATGTAATATAAGGAATTTTGTAGTCGATTGGTATGCTTTTTGTTTTCATAACAGCGAGTAACTTTTTTTTTTGGGGGGGGGGGGAGTTCTGATATCTAGACTGGCCCGAACACCTACAGTGCGCCGGCGTCGGGACACCGTCCGATACACTGCCGACGCGTCGGCGGCGCATACCATTACGGGTCACGGGGCCGGGCGACGGACCACTTCAGCGGCCGGCGGAGCCCGGCTTTCCTAACTATGCCAATCAAGACGGGGTGGGATCAGCGCGGCGCCGGCCGGCCCGGCGCCCGCGCGCCAATAGGAAGTGGCCGCAGAGGGGGGCCATAGCCGCCGGCCTCGCCGTCATCGGCGCCACAGAAATGTCGCCTCTGAGTGGCTGTGCAGCGCAGCTCCCGGTCAGTCATCGGGAGTCCCGAGAAGAAGAGAAGATTTCCACCGTACAGGACAGACCAAGGGGGCAAGAAGCTACGGCCGTGGCAGGAAGGTCCGTATAGGACAGACCAAGGGGACAAGAAGGTCCGCAGGGAAACCGTGGAATCAGGAAGGCTCGCAAGGGGGACGTGGGTTCAGAGAAGTTCATAAGGGGGACGGTTGGGCTGCTGAGACCGGAAGTTTTCTTTTCGCCACTGGCACCCGTGAAGGCAGCCAGCCGACCACAGAGCCCCTGAGGTGTGTCGTCCGCTCTAGCTTCCTGGCACACGCCGCAGTCTCCGAGCAGCCTCAGCTGCTGACCTGTAATCGGCCGGCGCGACAGTCGATAGTCGCTGACCGGGCGCAACAGCGTCCGACATCCGGCCCGTCGCCCGGTCCGAGCGGCCCGCCGACCAAAATGGCACGCAGCCCCCCGCCCTGTCGGCTGGGCGTGTCGCCGCCGGAGCGCACGGCTCGGCGCGGCGCGGGACAGGTCGCGGCCCGGGCGCGGCGCCAGGGGTGCGTTTCGTCCGGCGTCTGCCTGTGTCGGCCGGCGGTGGTGCCCTCTGCCGAGCAGGTGCCGCCGCGGCCTCGGCCTCTAGCAGCGCTGGGCGGCGCGGTCCGCCGCCGGCGGCGCAGTGCTCGGTAGTGGCCGGTGCGGAGCGCGGCGGGACGGTCTCGGAACGGCACCCATCGGAGCAGCCCGGAGCAGCGCGTCCACAGAGGGATCAGGTGGGAACACGGGGCCGGGGCAGAGTCAGGCGGCAACTGCAGGCACAATGCTATGTCGTTAATAGGATTCAGCAGCACTGGCCGAATTTAGTTACATAAAACGGCTATCAAATTCTAAAGAGTGATATTGCGCATTGCCGTCCATCGTATATTGACGTACAGCCCACAGCTAAAGTAATGTAGGGTTTTACCAATCTCAACGGTTGGCTTTGACTGGCGATTGTTTAATGCGGAGTGATCGAAAAGAAGATGTCAATAGCTAAAGTCGCAGCTGCAAGGGTGACGATACATATAAGCTACATTTAAAGTTTCATTGTAGTCTAGCTAATCGTTCCTAAGCTTCAGAAGCAGAACATACCCATGACTGAAACCCCACATTACTTCTGCTGTGGACTGTACCTACCCTGGAATCTTTTAGTTGATTCTTATGCTTATTTGCTAACATGTGTCATCATACATGCTACTTTATGCATGAATAGGGACGTAGGGCCTGTATGAGATCGGGCAGGCCGGTTCAGGTTGGTACCGGGTCCAGCGGCGGCGGGTGGGATCGGGGTCGCGCTCGCAGCCCGCCGGCCTCGTTCGGTGCCGATTCAGACAGTGCGCCGTCACGTCGAGCCGCGCCACCGCATCTGGGAAGGCCCTCTATCGCCCGACAGTCTGCTGGATGCAGAACGACGTCTCATAACAGCGACTCAACTCATGACTGAGCTATGTAGAACTACACTATGTCCTGTAGAAACTACTACGATGTCCGGGTAGACTCTTGTTTTTGCCCGTCGAAGCGATCGACACTAGTGATGTCAATTACAGAAAATCGGAATACCGATACTAAACCAAATACCAACCAAAACCGTGAGGAAATACCGAAACCGAACCAACCTAGGAACATGAGGCAAATACCAAATCTATACCAATTTATCAGCCTCTTATACAGGGTGTCTCACAAAAAGTGTACATATTTGTTTTGTAAATAGCTCCGTAAGTTAAAAACATACGTAAAAAACACAAATATCGCTGGAAAGCACAAAGCTTGCAAATTTATTCGCATATCATTTGCACGTCTTTATATTCACATACCGAATCAGTTTCCCATACTCTAGCTATGCGCTCATTTTTTTAGATGCTCAAAATGACAGCCTTTGCGCTCAGCGCACGTGGTGGCGCGCCTCATGGTCTCCTGGGCTACACGGGCGCATGTCTCCATGGTTATCCCGCGTATGGCTCCTCTGATGGCCTTTTTGAGCTCGTCTAGCGTGTGCGGCGTCTTCACGTACACGACATCCTTCAGATACCCCCATAGATAGAAATCCATGGGGGTGAGGTCGGGTGAGTGGGGTGGCCAGCTGTGGGGGGCCCGCCTGGAGATCAGCCGGCTTCCCAGGCGCTCGGTCAGCCAGGCCAGCGTGGCTCTTGACGTGTGCGCTGGAGCGCCGTCCTGCTGGAACCATTGCAGGCAAATGGTGTCCGCGCACTTGCTGTTGAGAGACCGCCAAAAGCGCTTCAACACTGCCAGATAACGGTCTGAAGTCACCGTCACTGGTTCTCCGTCACCGTCTTCAAAGAAGATCGGTCCGATTATGCCCTGGGCGCTAAGCGCGCACCAGACCGTCACTTTTGGAGAATGTAATGGGACTTCCAAAATCTTCTCTGGCGGGTGTTTGCCCCAGTGTCTGTGGTTTTGACGATTAGGTAAGCCGTGAAGGTAAAAGTGTGCCTCGTCGGACCACCAAATGTTGCCGATGAAACTGGGGCAAGACGAGCACTTTCCTAAAAACCAACGGCAAAACTCCAACCGTTGTAGGCAATCAGACTTGGAAAGCTCTTGAGATGTTGATAACCTGTATGCCTTAAGCTTCAGGTCCTTCCTAAGAATCCGATGCGTGGAGCAGCGGCTGAGTCCAACTTGTTGCGCAAGGTGCCGCACGGACACTCCAGGCTTTTCCTCAACTCGCCGAATGACTTGTCCGATTTTCAAAGGTGTTCGGGCAGTTATCTTGCGGCCGCTGTTTCCAGTGTTTTGATTTCCGACTGTTCCGTGAGCCAAGAAATGTTCAGTAAGCCGTTTTATTGTGTTTGCCGGCGGTTTCTCTCTTATTGTAGGGAAATGAGCCCTAAATTTCCTCTGAGTCAATACCAGGGAACCGGTTTGAAGGTAAAATTTCACGATTATTTTCCTTTCCTCTTCACTTAACTGTCTCATGACTCTCACTAACAAATTGTATGTCAAATAAATTTGCACGAGCTAAGCTTCAATATAAGCCTGCATTTGACGTGAGCGCGTGCTTATATGCTGAAATATCTTCATTTTAAATCTGTACACTTTTTGTGAGACACCCTGTATATTAGTGAGGGTTCATTATACCAACAAAATACCAAATATAGGAGGATTGCAATACCAAATACCAAGTTGGTATTGGTTTGGTATCGGTATACCAAAATGTTGGTATCCGATTGACATCTCTAATCGACACCGACTCGGGCTCTGTCTGTTTCGCCCGTTTGCTGGCCTCGATTCGTCAGGCTTGCGTGCTCGGGTGAGCTCACCATGACAGATACAATCGTACCTGGCCGCCGGGCGGCCACTGTTTTCTTTTATCGCCTCGTACCGCGTCCTGTGACTACCCAGGAGTCATGCAGCTATAAATGCCTATTGCCTATGTATTTGTAAAATTGACAAATGTTATATTAAATGATGGTATTTACCTAGACTGCTACAGAAGTCTTAACTGTACCTAAACTGCTTCACTCTTTGCTGACGGTTACCACATAGGTACCAGATACGGACTCTTTCTCGATTTTTCTTCTCGGCATAGTTGCGGTGACGGAGACTGGCTGTGTGTATTTATCGATACTTACCTAGTTATATGCACAAAAGCTGATTGTGATTGCGCCGAAAATGTGTAATTTACTATTTAACCTTCGCCCCAGTGGGGGGGGGGGGCATATGTTACCACCCTGTCGCGTTTTTTGCGTGTAAATAAAAAACCGCGGCGCGTAGCACCGCGCCGCTTGGGGTAGCTTTTGGTACATCAATTTTGGACAATGTGTGAAATTTTTGACCCCAGGTCATGTCAGGTCAGGTCACCAGGTCAAGTTAACTGACCAAGCCTGAAAAAAAGTTTGCGATCATGTCCAGCCTGCAGTGTTTGTCAGAAAGGTTTCAAACTTGGTGGATTGCATGATGTTATAGACGCCTACAATTTGTATATCTCGGATTTTTTATATCTGTGACCTAAGGTCAGGTCAGTGTCGTGATCTTACCATTATAAGGCAATGGAGAAAAATGAAAATGTCTCTAGATCCGTGTGTATGCATAGGAACAGTCCAAATATTTCAGAATCACAATGATTTGGACCACCCGTGATGACCAAGGTGTCATTTTTGCTGATAGCCTCTAGAAAGGTCATCCGAGGTCATTTGAGGCTACCAACAGATTTTTGCCAATAACTCTCGATTGGAAAGAGATAGAACGCTGGGGATGGCTTCATTGTGTTTGTCTTGCCGAGACGCATCGACTGATATGCAACATGACCTTTTCCGGTCAGATCATGACCTTGACCTGAGGTCAAATTTTCAAGTTGACCTTTCAAGGTCAAATTATAGTTCATTCGACGCGTCTCGGCGAGAGGAACACGATTCTGGCAATAGAAATGTCGTGGCTTTTTTTAGTCGAAAGTTATTGTCGAAAAACACTTTTCGTAAAAACAGCTATTTTTTATTTATTTATTTATTTATTTATTTATTTTACATCGTGAGCAATTCCGTCAAAACAAGAGGCTATTACATGCTCGTGTCATCATATAGCAATGGACTGGGGAAACGAGACTACATAACGCACATACTTGACACATGCTAACAGGAACAACACTACATCATCGCAGAATGTAGGGGAAGGAGGGTGAATTGCGCCACCTTAAGGAAAAACGCTAATTGTAAGAAAACCGCTGGAGATATAAGCATGCACTGGTAACCACTTCAAAGAGGAACTCATTAGCTACGATTTAAGAGCCTCCCGATCAATTAAGAATGTTTCGTTTGCTTCCGACAGCTGCTTTTCAGAAACATGCAAAAGGGCGCATTTACCGACAACTGCTGTAAATTGCGCCAGGGGGATGGCGCAATTAGAATCAAATTGCGCCCTATACCTAAACATGGCTAAGCGAATGAGACGGAATGCATACACCCCGGCAGTGTAATGTCAATGCGGCTTACTTATACATTTTTAATGTTAATCAGGCTGGATAAATAATAAATGTAGATATAAATAGCGATGTTTTTTTGCCCAGGTAAATAACTTTACATGTGTCCGTATGTTTGTAAGAGTGCAACGAAAACGTTTTATGTAACCGACTAGATATATGTGAAAGTATGGTTAAATTTTCAATCGTTTCTCTCAAAATTATTAATTTTTATCGTTTCGACAACTTGTTGACATCAGTTTTTACTTTTTGATCATAGCTGTCACCTCTCACGCCCGAGTCCATGTTGAAAATGCCGTATTTTGTCAATTACACCACAAATTGGCAGCCTGAATGGCAGCTGCATTATAAGTTTGACGAGAGAAATAATTTGCAGACTGGCGACAGCGGGCTGCTCCCCTGCCTGGCATTAAACTCCTTCTTTATTGCAATCAGTTAATGGTGCATTCGTACTGTCGTGATACAATAGCTACACCATTATTCTATTTGCGCCCCCATGGCGCAATTACCATGGGCGCAATTAGAATTGAGGTACTTTTTAATAAAAGCGTAGAAGTTATTCATAAATATGCTGAAGGAAGTTGACTGTTTAAGTGAAATATAATGAAAAAATGGGCTTTCTTTCTAAATATCACTCTGAAAATCACACACGTATCACATATTTTTATAGCGAACGGTTCAAAATACTGCAAAAAAGCTAAGAAAACGCCGTAATATCTTTGATGGCGTAACTGAGCCCTGCTGATTGGCTTCGTCGGAGAGCTTGGGCCATAAAATGAACTATCAGGTGGTGAAAAT